GCTCAGCAGGGAGTCTGCTTCTCCCTCTGACCCTCCTCCCTCTCATGCTCTCTGTCTCTCATTCTCTCTCTCGCAAATAAATAAAAAATTTAAAATAAATAAATAAATAACCTTTGAAGTAACAACCAGAAAATCCCAATGTTTCTGGCAATTTTCCATAATCCCCTCCATCTTGAATTACAAAACTACAATAACTTCCCACGAAGCCTCTTGGAGACATTTCCTACTAGTAAGTGACCATTACAGTGCAGTGTAGAAGGCAACAAGAAACTTGTACAAAAAACAGACTCTCTAGTGGCATCAAAACTATAAAAAGAAAGGAAAGGAAAGGAAAAAGAAAAATATATACATGCTTGTTTAGAGAGACACAGAATGGAACTAGAATGATACGTTAAAAAATCAGTAACATTTGTTGCCTCCACAGAGGAACAAGATGACAGAAAAACAGATTTGGAACACTTTTCTCAGTATACTTTTGTTCCGTGTGGTTTTTATACCATTGTATTATATTATTATTCTAAAACAAAACAAAATCCTTTTTAATTCTAAAAGCTTTAACCGAAATCATACCACTGGCCATTTCCATATATAATACACAAACAGTGTGAACCTTTCATTTTGATTTAAATCAGGCATTAACTTTTATTCTTGTTATTCTATTTAAACATTCCTATCACATGTAACTTGACTATAACAAAAAACATTATTTGATTTCATTTTTTAAAAACTCTACCCACCAAAGAATTTATTTAAAGAAAACAGTAAGATAAATGCTTACTCTCTTGTCTGGACTGGCGTCAATGATTTTTCAGTTTTCTTTTCTTGCTCCAGTGAAGAACTAACAAATAAATAACATTTGTTTTTAAATATGTAAAAAGATTTAATATTTAATATAAAAAATACTTTTAAGTAATTTACACATGTCTCTTCTATCCATCAGCAAGAAAGAAATTATTTTAACTTGTTTTTTTTTTTAAATGATACACCATAACATCATTATTAATGACAGTGTGTGGTCCAAGAGTCAATTTCTCAGTCAAAAATTTTGTCATCAACTATAAATAATTTGCTACGCCGTAAGTACAGAATGTTTTTACTCTCTAATTCCTTGGTGAAGGGAGACTCTCAGTCCTGAGGCCTAAAGCAACCTACACGTGGCTTTTCTCTATGTCAAATAACACAAAACCTAGGTTTTTGGCCCTTCCTTCAATAGGCCAACCTGAAAAAGGCTATACTGAAAACATGCCACTATTCCTACATCCACCTGCTAAACCATGAAGAACATAACTCTGAAATTTATTATAAACCGTCTGCTTCTCCAGGCTAACTTTGATTAAAGAAGCTTTGTTCTTGGAGGATTTGTTAATCAAATGCCACTATATTTAATTAGGAGGTAGGGCAAAGAAATTAGACCATTCCTTTAGAATCAGGTTATAGTGTACATGAAAGAGAATCTGTAATACTGATTAGAGAAAAATTGTTTAGTTGGTTTTACAACAACTTAGAAATATAAGAAAAGAAACTTATTTTTTAATTTCAGAGGTAAAGGATACCATCCCAAGAAAGCAGTTACGTGAAATACCATTAAATTTTGTTAAAAAATTCTCTCTAAAAGAACATCGTATGTGCTATAAATTTTGTCAACATGCTTTTGGAAAACACTGAACCTCTACTCTAAAAGTGATACTTAAATCACTACATACTCAAAGAAAGGAAAAGTAAAGTTTACTTACGTCATTGGATTGTTATCTGGCAGGTAATATATGAAATCTCTCATAGTCATTTTTGAACGATCTGGTGGCTTCTGACTTTCATTTATGGCGTATTTGTTTTTCCATTGCTTCTAGACACACAAACACACACAAAGATCCACTTTTATTTTACAAATACAGAAGAATTTCACATGTACTATACTCCAAGGTACAGCTCACTGTTGCATTCATTCCAAGTGATTTAATATTACTCCTACCACAATTATTCCTAATTTAAGGAAAAATTTTCTAAAGTGAATATTAAAAAGTTGTAGCACAACAAGGAACCTTAAAAACTGAAGTGTCTAGGACTGGACAAAAGCTCAATGTATAAACCTTACAAATGTCTTCTAATGAAAAGAGTTTACTAAGAATTTATAAACATACAGCTTTTGTTTATCCTGTAGTGATCTGGATTTGTGAATTTTATAAAATTCTTGAAGCAAATGTTTAATTTTTTAATTCCACAGAATAAATTTACCTAAGCAGATTCAATAAACATAGAACATTCTGAAAGACTTCAATTTTAGAGGATATAGATTCAAACCTCACTGATGTTTGACACAAAGCAAGTAACCTCTATGAGCCTATTTCTGTCTGTGTAAAATAGTGATATCTACTTCACAAATGTGATAGAATTAAATAACAAATATAAAGCACCATGCTAAGTGCCTTCCTCTTAATTAATTAAAAAGGGCATTCTGTAATTAAAAATAAGAGCTGACATGTATTTGCCAGACACTAGTCTAAATGTGTTTTACATGTATAAACTCATCCAAGCTTTACAACCCTCCAATGAGATACATACTATCATCAGTCTTATTTTGCAGATGAGGACACAGAAAAATTAATTAAATTGTGCAAGTTCACATAGTAAGGGATTACTCCCAAGGTTCAAATCTTAAGTATCTAACTGCAGATTTACATGCTTCACTATTGGTGCAGTGCCCTCTTGGAAAAATAATAAATCTTCAAGATTAAAAAGAAGATGGACAAAAAAAAAAAAAAAAGATGGACTCTACTATACACATACGAGCATATTTTTCCCATTTATAATTTCTATATTGTCAACTTAGAAAATATTATCAATTCATTTTGCTCAAGTATACTTGTCTTAATTCAAATAAATATAACTCATGTCACTTGGACATCATGAAAAATCAGATTGAAGGCTTATTTTATAAATATGCTTTGTATACATTTCTATGTATGTATATGTACAGAACTTCTACTTGTGGCCTTCACCAAAAACAATGAAAAATATAGAGGAATATATAAAAATTAACAAAGTGGAAAAAAAAGCTTATTAAGTCCATTGGGCTTATTAATCACTTAACAAAAAGGATATTCACTGATCAATTACAGACCTACCTGTACCCCTGAAACAAATAATACACTATATGGTAATAATAAAAACAAAAACAAAAAGGATATTGATTATGCTCCATTAAATGCTATAGATATTTTTACTCCAAATGATGCCTTATTAACATAAAAACAGAATTCTAGCAGAGACCAGTCAAAATGTGATTTTTGTCTCCCTTACCTTCTCTTTTCTTAATTCTTCTTTTAACATTTCTCTTAGTTTCTGGGCTTTATATAATCGGTATCTGTCTGAACATGGCTGTTTCTCTTTTGTTGAAACAGGGTTTGGTTGTGGAACTTCTTGATTAACTGTAGATAAGGGATGAGATTCTGAAGGAACATTGACAGCAGGCTTAACCAGAGTAGGAGTACTTGATATTCTCTTTCTTCTCTGTGAAACAGTAGAGGAAGATTTACTGGATTCTTCAACATAATTCTCACTGTCAGTCTTTTCATCACTGTTGAAATTTTAAAAAAAGAAAAAAAAGGGGGCACCATGGATCTTTCATATTCTAGTTTCAAAAAACTAACGTGGTGAAAATCTAGAACAGTAAAATCTCATTATTAAAAAAATCAATGACTTGAAATATACATCAATCACGACAGAGATAAATAAAAATTTTATTTAGTAAATGTTTTTAACAGATATATAAGTTCTAAAAAAAGGCTGTTTTTTTTTTTAAACTTCCCTTATGGCAATAGAACATATTATTTCATGCTCATGCTAACTCTTTTAAGAAAACAAAAGGCCAAGTTAGAAATTAAAGCTTAATTACCCTATTTTGAACTACTGCCAATTGTTTTTCTTTATAATCTATACTGACATCCCACTGAACTGATCTAAATTACTGAAATTTTACTCTATCATCCTGAGATCAGTCAAACCAAACATACAAAACTTCAAACTTCTAAAATATCCCTACTGCAGTATTTGAGAATATACATTTAGCTACATTAATCAAACCAAATATTGTCTGAGGCAGAAATCATTTATCTTTTGTTGGTAACTAGTTACACAGCTACCAAACTCCTCACTCAAAAAAAGTACTCAGTCACTCCAAATTACATATTAGGTATAGCTCAGATTGGATACACATATTTCAGGAATGGCCTGAAAGCAAATTAAGTCAAGAAGACAGAGGGTAGGGCGCCTGGGTGGCTCAGTTGGTTAAGCGACTGCCTTCGGCTCAGGTCATGATCCTGGAGTCCCGGGATCGAGT